TTCGTGCTCCCCAGCAAAGGCAAGCAAATTCGCGGGTGCAACCCGCTCCCCCTCAAGAAGCTTCCGGTGATTCTGCTGGTCAAAGCTCTCCATCCCCCCCTGGATTCTGGAGACAACCAACAGCGCAAAACAACAACCCCGATCTGTTCTCAGCGGATGAACTGATGGAAATTTTCGTCAACATGTCCGGTGCTCTTCGTAAGTGCCGCAATAAGCCCGAACAGATCCAAGTGCTCGGTAAGTTCATCATCCAGTATGGCGTCTAAACCGCTAACTATCGTCACCTGGAATGCTTGCTCTGTAAGAGCAAAAAAGATTGAGCTTGCCGACTTCCTCCGCAAGCACAGCATCGACGTGGGCCTTCTAACCGAGACCCATCTAAAGTCCGGCGACAGCTTCTGGTTGCCTGACCACAACATTATCCGGCTTCATCGCACCAGCTCCAGGGGGGGGGGGTGGTGTTGCGGTCGTCGTCAAGAAAGGAATGAAATACCACACTCTGTCCCATATCCGCACCACTATCATCGAGGCCCTTGGTGTGGAGGTGGAGTCGTCGACTGGATACGTTCAGTTCATCGTCGTCTACTGCCCTCGACAGTGTGCCGCCAGCAGTGGACTAGCGGCTAAATTCAAGAAGGACCTGTCCACCATCACCCGTACCGGTTCCCGCTTCGTAGTTGGAGGAGATCTGAATGCTCGCCATGAGGCCTGGCGGAACTACCAGCAGAACCAGAACGGTCGTCTCCTGTTCGACCACTCACAGCATGGGCTGTACTCCGTTTGGTTTTCGGATGAACCAACATTCATCTCACCGGCGGGCAACCCATCGACGCTAGACCTGTTCCTGACAAATATCGGCTTGTCCAAGCCGGTAGCCTTGAACGAACTCAGCTCCGACCACCAACCGGTGGTGGCTGAACTGGGCTGCAACGTGGCTCCTGCTTCAAGCCTGCGCAAGGACTACCATCGCGTTAACTGGGCCCAGTTTGGACGCGTGGTAGACAGGCACATCATCGACAACCCGCCGCTTGACACCGTGGAGGACATCGATCGAGCGTTGGAGGGACTCCACCAAGCCATAACCGTGGCTGACGAGGCGTGCGTCCGACGAGTTCCTGTGAGGGGTAAGTTTATTGCCATTGATTCCCACACGCAACTTTTGATTCGCCTGAGAAATGTTCGTAGACGCCAGTTTCAGAGGACTGGAGATCTGGGCAAAAAACGTGAAATGGCTGATCTGAACAGACAGATTGCTTCCAGAATGGACTCACTCCGAAATGAAAGTTTCGGGTGTGTTGTCCAGAATCTGGACGACCGCCCCAGACCATTCTGAAAGGTAGCCAAGGTCCTGAAAACTCATCCCAAACCCATTCCACCTCTCAGAGTCGAAAATGATGACGATCGGCTTTTAATCACCCCACAGGAGAAAGCAAATGCGATCGGCGAGCATGTCGCTTCATCGCATTTGCTTGGCTCGAATATCCAAAGTCCGCTCGAAGATCAGGTTGCGCAATGCGTTCAAAACCTAGATGCCTCCCCTTGTGTCGTGCCTCCGGCGGATATGATTACAGTACAACAAATTTGCTCAGCGCTGAAATGCACCAAGAACATGAAGGCTCCCGGGTTTGACGGTATATTCAACTTGATCTTGAAGAGACTCAGCATGAAAGTGCAGTCTCTTCTAACCGCTATCTTCAACAGATGTTTGGAACTGCACTACTTTCCAAGTATCTGGAAAGTAGCAAAAATCATACCAATCCGCAAACCCGGTAAGGATCCAACATTGCCTTCAAGCTACAGACCAATCAGCCTCCTTTCAGCACTGAGCAAATTGTTCGAGAAACTCATTCTCAATCGTTTGCTCAAGTTTGTCGAGGAAAATAACATTCTCCTTCCGGAACAGTTTGGATTCAGAAAGGGGCACTCCACCAATCATCAGCTAGTACGGGTGATGAATAATATCCGAAGTAACAAAGCTGTATCCAAGTCCACAGCCATGGCCTTGTTAGACGTTGAAAAGGCGTTTGACAATGTTTGGCATGATGGACTTGTGTACAAGCTTTGTAACTTCAACTTTCCTTTACATCTGGTTAAAATTACCCGTAACTACCTCCAGCAAAGGCCGTTTAAGGTATCGTTGAATGGTTGTCTTTCCGACACGTTTTCCATCCCAGCAGGAGTGCCGCAAGGCAGTCTGCTGGGCCCCTTGCTTTACAGCATTTACACTTCCGATATTCCTCCCCTTGGAGACGGTTGCGTGTTTTTCCTGTTCGCAGATGATACCGCAATAGCCGTCAAAGGAAGGATGCCTCGCGAAATAACGAACAAACTTCAACGATGCCTTAACGCTTTTGCTGATTATGCCACCACGTGGAAAATCAAAATCAATGCCTCCAAAACACAAGCGATCATGTTCCTCCATCGGCAATCGCCCAAACTGAAACCGGCTCCATCTTGTACTGTAATCATGAATGGCACAAGGGTTAAGTGGTCTGCCGAAGTAACCTATCTCGGGATGTTGTTTGATGAAAAGCTCCTCTTCCGTTCGCATGTAGAGAAAACTGTAGTTAAGTGTTCTGCCTTGGTTAGGTGTCTGTATCCGCTGATTTGCCGCAGATCGCGCCTCTCAAGGGTGAACAAACTGGCCGTCTACAAATAAATCATAGCACCTGCGATCCTCTACGCAGCTCCGGTGTGGGAATCATGTGCAAAGACTCACAGGAACAAAATTCAGGTCGCTCAGAATAGAGTGCTGAGGATGGTTCTTGATCGTCCTTTCGACACTAGAATAACAAATTTACATGAAGAGGCAGGCATTGCCAAAATAGATTCCAAAATTAACGAAATTAAGACTAAATTTGCACAAAAATGTAATTTATCAGAACATGCTTTGATCAAGGTTGCAAAGACTCATTTCAGCTAAAACAATGTTTTTCTTAATTATGAAATAATTAGATGCCATGATCAAATTTTGAATTGGTAGGATACAAGAAGAGGTTGCAAAGAATGTGTTTGACATATTAAACCTGTTTATTTCACTTCATGAGAGTCACAATCAGCGATTTTTCACAAACTCACTCACTCACTCACTCACTCACTCAGCGATCAGCAAATCGCTGATTGTGACTCATAGAAAGCAAAATTTACAGGTTTTATGTTTCCAACGCATACTTTGTAACCTATTCTTGTAAGTTACAAGTAAAACATGCCATCATACCATCTTTTGGTTTTATTATTCCGAAAAACATTATTTTAGCTGAAATGAGTCTTTGCAACCTTGGCTTTGATAAGCAATTTGTATATAGTAGGTTAGGTGTATATAGTAGTTGTAGGTTAGTTGTAGTTGTAAATAGTAGTTATATGTAGACTCCTTTTTCCAATTCAAATCAAACCAAAAGGTGACGGACCACCAGCAGCAGCAGAAACAGCAGCAGCAGCAGAAACAGTATAGCAGCAGCAATAGAAGCGGGTGCCGTGGGAGCTGCATCGCTAATTCGTGTTGCCGTGGCCGAGGCTGGAAACCTCGGTCCGGTCACGACATAGATGTCATCACCAACAACAGCAGTGACATCTGATGGAAAATGAATGCAGAACCTTGACAACATGATTAATTTCATGTGGCCGCTCCCTGGGATGGGAAATTTGTAGCACAAACCCATTCTCCTCAATTCTTGCTTTGCTGCTGATCTCTAAATCCGCTAGCACGGAGTCCCTAACTAATCCAGTATATCCAGCAGACTGATCGTCGATTTCGGGATGGGAATCTGCAATCATACAAAACATAACCTAAATAATATCAGTGCATCAAAAAACTCATTTTAACTATCTTTCAATGACATTGCAAAAAAAAATTAACATATACCATTACATTATTCGACATATTTCCTACATGAACCATCCATAATAATGATCGTATCTCACTATTTTGAACTTTGTTTTCAATAATTTATCATTCAAACTTTGGAATTTGAACCGGCTGCGGCTGTCATAAATTTATCACCATCGCCTAGTATTATTTCCCGCCACTAGTGACGCACAAATTTCACTTGGATTCTACTATTTTGATTTGATTTCAATAGCCCAAATTTTCATGACATGAAGAAAAGTTATAAAATGAATGGCGTGTGTGCTATTTGTGTCCCTCGCAGCCCGCATAAACGTGAACCATCACATGACCTTACCGATAATGGTTATAAATTGTTTATAATCCCTGCGAAACTTCAACTGAAATGGTTTTGGAACTTTACATGAACGTTTGTGTGATAAAGTTTTAACCTTATGTATTATGGTTTTTAGGATCCAAATTCTTGTTTTCTCCATACATTTTCGGAAAGAGAACTATATTAGAACGTTTTTACTTATGGTTTGAGAACATTGATGGTTAAGGTTATGGTAGTCAGTAAGGTCTATTAATGGTTTTGTATTATCACTCAACTTTACGTGAAATATATCGTGAATTGGTAATCAGTAATTTACAGGCAACCAATTCGCGATATATTCCACATAAAGTTGATCGATGTTACATAACCATTCATGGACCTTACTGGTTACCATAACCATTACCATTGATGTTCTCAAACCATAAGTTAAAAGGTTTTAGTATAGTTTTCTTTCCGAAAATGTATGGAGAAAACAAGAATTTTGAATGGTAATGGTTCTTAACAACCCATTATTTGTAAGGTCCACTTCCAAAAAACTATAATACTTAAGGTTAAAACTTTATCATTAAACGTTCATGTAAAGTTCCATAACCATTTCAGTTGAAGTTTAGCAGGGATTATAAACAATTTATAACCATTATCGGTAAGGTCAATTTATGGTTCGCGCTTATGCGGGAGGTGTGGAGTTGCTCCTCTGACAAACTGCCACTTCAAAAACATCACTCCCATCCACAAGCCCCCCCGAACGGATGCTCACCTGATCACCTTCTGGCACCGTCCGCTTGGCGGCGCTACCTACCATCTGTCAAACTGCGCTTGACGGAACCACCGGTACAGTCGATTTTCTTGCCTCCCTTTCGGCTGTCACCGCGCCGGAAGCAAAAGTAGACAACGAAACTCCTTCCCGTTTGACAGCTCTTTTCCATCACAAGTATGGCTCCGAAGAAACCGTCTGAAAAGTCCGGTAAGAGAAAAATCGTCGATTTTCGGTGTGAAATATGAGTGTAAATTGCTGAACTGGTTGTTAATCGTGAGGAATAAAGTGTCCGTTGTGAGTGCGTGCGGAATTTTCCACGATTTGGTGCGAAAATGGCCAGAAAAACGAGTGTTGATCTTTGGGTTGTGTACGCCACGAGGGTTGAGAGCGACGGATGGACCATTTTAGAAGCATTGGGTTGATGGATGTAAATAACATGAGTGAAAGGAATCGGTGTGCATGGTTTGGAAGGTTAGCCCCGGGGGAAGTGTCCTCATGATGAATACAATTTCTAGAGGGAATCTCTCTGAACCAATCGTGAAAGAAGCTCTTTAAAACTAGATATCTGAAGGCACTAGTGTTCTTGTTGATGTTCGAGGGGGAGGGTGATGCGGTTAGTGGAAGTCAGTTTTACTAATGGTGATTCTTGAATCTTGTTTCAGCGGGCCAACCGGCCGAAAAGAAGGAGAAGAAGCCAGCAGCCGCTGCTTCTGGCTCTGGCGAGAAGAAGGCTGCTCCAGAAAAGAAGCCGGCCGCTGAAAAGAAGCCGGCAGCCGAGAAGAAGCCGGCCGCTGAGAAGAAACCAGCAGCCGAGAAGAAGCCAGCTGCCGAGAAAAAGCCAGCCGCTGAGAAGAAGACAGCGGAGAAGCGTGCTGCCCCAGCTGATTCCAAGGCTCCAGCTCCGGAAAAGAAGAAGGCTACCGCTGCCGATTCCAAGAAGACTCCGGCCGCTGCTCCCAAGCCTGACGCTAAGAAGAAGAAGGATGCCAAGAAACCAGCCGGTGCTACTGCTGCGAAGAAGCCAGCCACTGGTGCGGCCGCCAAGAAGGCCGCCGATGCCGCGGCGAAGGCCAAGAAGACCGCAGCCGGTGACAAGAAGGCTGCCGCCAAGAAGACCCCAGCTAAGAAGGCGGGCTCCAAGAAGGGACCGGCCACAACCAAGAAGGTTGGCACGGTCAAGAAGGGTACCGCCGCTGGTAAGGGAGCTGCTGCTAAGAAGCCAGTCGCTAAGAAACCAGCGGCCGCCAAGGGCGACAAGAAGGCCACCGAGGCCAAACTGCAGAAGGGTGCCGCAAAGGCTCGTGCCGCCGCTCTGCTGAGGGCCAAGAGGACCAAGACCAAGGTGAGTTCTGTCCGGGAGGTGAATCGTGGGCGATTGTTTAATTCGAATGATGAAACTTTTGAAGAGGGAATCTCCTTGAACTCCAGGAAGAAATTTCCTGGGGTGGTGAAATCAACCATTTGCTTCCAACTGACCTTGATTTCTAAAGAATATAAACCTTTGAGGGACAAAGAAAGCAGTGACTAATTAATGCTTTGTTTTTCGTTTGTTGTAGGTCGTCAAGGGTGCGTTTGGAACTGCCTTGCGCAGGATCCGCACCACGGTGAAGTTCCGTCGTCCACGTACCCTGCGTCTGCCGCGTAACCCCAAGTTCCCGAGGAAGTCGGTGCCAACCCGCAGCCGGTGAGTACTATTTTTGTTCGGAAGGATGTTTAGTGTCGAAATTGGTTTCAAAAGGAATGATGAGTTCACACACACAGTACTGAGCGAAATAAGGACAATTTTTCCCATTGCGTTTTTTTTTTGCGATTGGGTTCTCTTTTGATTATCCCTGAAAGGTGTTTTGTTGAGGGATACCAGGGAACAGTCAAAGGGGGAAGTCGAGATTATTATGTTTTCTCTTTATTTACAAGGTTTTCAGCCAGGAGCTGGTTCACCAAAAGTAGAGTTAATTTTCGAGGTCAAGCTTCGGGATCGGAAGATTCATGAATCCCCAGGTGACCTATTTCTTAAACTTTGTTCGATGGTCCATGTCCCTACGACTTCCCGAGAATAGCTTTACGATTTGTCAAGAGCAAAAATCTAAGATATTCCGGCGATAAATTCTAGAGACTTAAAGGAGCATATTCTAAAATACTCCTATGTTATGTTTTGATGCCTTCTGGTGGGATTATCAGAAGGAAATTTCCAAGAAAAAATCCGGTTGCGATTCAAAGTGTTTATCATCAACAGGCTCAGTAGAACCCCAATGATTGTTAAGTAATTTTAAAATATCATTGGGGCTATACTAACTGAGCATGTCGATCCTGACAAACAAATAAATACTTAGGTATCAAGGTAAATCCTTATCTACTGCTACCAACCAAATCTCCCTCAGTCCCTCGTGTGACATGTTAAGAGATGAACTAGCATATGGCTGAAAGCCTCCTGATTAACGATAAGCTAACCTCCTGTGTGACCTTTGTAGGGACGCAGAGGTAAATGTGGTCTCCAATTACGTTGTTTGTCTTTTTAATTCTTCTACAATTGTATCACTATATATGATTAAAAAGAAAAACAACGTAATAAGACACACTGGATGGCCAGTGAACCCGGAAAAAACCTGGGAATTTCAATGACAAATGGGAAGTGCTCTCTTCGAAAAAAAATAAGATTTTGGACCATGAAAAAAATTCAAGACCATTGGATTGGACTAGATTTTCAGGATCCACTCATTTCAAAGAATGCAAAGCAATTTTGTGCAGATTTTAGAATGAATCCTAGAGAAAACAGCAAGGTATTTCAAAGAAAATGTTCTAGGGAGTGTTTTGACTAGAATTCCAAGTCAATTGTGAGTTCAGCTCTGTGGAAAAATTCCATGGCGATTGAAGAGGATTCCAGGATCCGTGAAAAATACCAAGGGAATCGTATTTTAGCTTGGATTGGAAATTTCTTGGATAATTTCAAAGTCATTTCAAAAAGAATATAATATAATTCAAGGAAAATTCCAATTGAATATTCTGAAGAATTTAGAGGAGAATTTCAAGATATTTCGGAGCAAAATTGTTCTCAGTTGAATTACATAGGAGAATTCAAGCGAATTAAGGAAGCGAGGGACCGGACCTCAAGTAACCCTATAAGGACTCTTTTGCAATATTTAATATAAAGGATCTAAGTTTTATATCAGCCGTATATAAGCTTTATATTGCAAAAATGGCCCTTATCGGTTATTCCAGAAGCTTCAATGAATTAGGTATTAGAAAAAAAATTAAATTCCAATAGAATCTAAGGAAGAATTCCGGAGAACTTGGAGATTAGGGCGTAATTGCTTTTGTAGGTTAGGTTAGGTTATCTTTACTAGGCAGACTTTCAGCCAGAGGCTGGTTCATCTCTTGACGAATATTGGGGAATCCAGAAGGGGTCCCCCTAGTGACAGAGTTTGAAATAGCGGTGGGGAGCCAGAAGGCACCCCCTACCCCCTATTAATGAGGTGGGGTATTCAGAAGGGACCCACTAATTAAGAGGAGTGGACAGTCCAGAAGACGCCTCCCTAGTAACAGAGTATATGTTTATCAGAGTTGGCAGTCGTAGTTAGTAGATGTTCCTGGTTTGGTGCATTTGGTCTACTAATTGTTATGGTGGTGTATTCAGAGTCCGTTTCGATGCAGTGGGTCGGTTATGGTTGGTTCCTATCAGTGAGTTAGGTCAGATGTTCTTATACATGTTGGCGTCCTTGATGAAACATATAACAGCTGCTTCGGTTGAAGGGTCTTTGGCCAAGGCGTTTCTAATGTTCGTCGGGATCCCATAAAGATCCCTAATTCCCTGGAAACCTGGGCAATTCACTAAGAGGGTGCTCTACCGTCATCGTTGTGTTGCAAATGTCAGTGCTTTTGGAACGAAGTCGCACTTCCCATATTGTGGGTCGTCCGAGAATGTCCTTAGCAAAGACGAGAAAGAATCAGTTGGTCATGACGGTTTGGGGAATCTTGCCAGTTGGTGGTTTCCCCTTTGATTTTACGGAGGAACGGTTCCCTTTTGCTGGCCCAAGCATTCCGAAGTTTGAACTTCATCCACGTCTTGATATCAGGTCCTGGAACGGTTTTAGTAGCGAGCCTTCAAGATCGACCCATAGCCGCAAGATGGTCTGCTTCACAATTCCCCCGGATGTCGCAATGCCCGGGAATCCATAGGAAGATAGTGTTCGACAGAGCTTCCAGTTGGATCCAAGGATGTCTGGATGTCTGGGATTCCAAAGCTGTTAGAACAGTTGCAGAGTCCGAAAGGACACAGAGCGGTTTGCTGGCGTGCATGGTAATGGGGCCTCTCTTAGCTCAGTCGGTAAAGGCGCAGCTACAAAGCAAGACCATGCTGGAGGTGGCTGAGTTCGATTCCCGGTTCGGTCTAGGAATTTTTCGGGTTGGAAACTTTCTCGACTTCCCTGGGCATAGAAGTATGATTGGACTTGCCACACAATCATATCAATGCAAAAATGGTACAGGCATCGAAAACTCTCAATTAATAACTGTGGAAGTGCATCTAGAACACTAAGTTGAGAGCACGCAATAAGCTAATATCAAGACCAACAATTGAAATGGCCTTAACTCCATTTTGTAAACAAACCTTATAAGGCCATTTTCTCGCGAACCAAAGTTCGCAAAGGCAAACCAACATAATGAACAGGTAGGGGAAATTCTCTTCTACCCGATTGTGGTTTAGGTTTGCGAATGAAGGTTTCGATTCGCGAGGAAATGGCCTTACAAGGTTTGTTTACAAAATGGAGTTAAGGCCATTTCAATTGTTGGTCTTGATATGCGATATACAATAAGCTTGAAATGCGAAGAAGAAGAAGAATAGTAATGGCGTGGAAGATTGTCGCACTTTCCGCAGAGAACACAGAGCGCTGGTCCAGGAGTCGAAAGAAAAGACTGGCAGCGGAATCTGCAATTCCAAGGCCTTAGAGCCATCCGTATATCAGTGGTGGTGGTCGGAGTATTTCGTACGAAGCAGTTCAGTCACGTATGCGTGCATTTCTCGCGAGTTGTCTAGCAACCGAGAGGTCAACGTGAAGGCTTGATTCTGACCATCCTCTGGTTCCGGTCCATTGTAGTCTCGACACTGGGGAGAGCTCCTAATGGGCCAGGTTCCTTAGAGCTCTGTTTCCCTCTCTGAGGAGACAGACTTCTTCGTTTCCGGCAGTCTTCTCCAAATAGCTTATTGTTCTGCTTACCAGGGTCTCGGCAACTTGATACCGGAAAGACAGGACACCGAATTGGCTTGATTATAAGTGAGACCTAGCCGCGCAATGAAGAGGTCACCAGCCGTACAGAAAATCTCAATTCCGTAGAAGATTTTACTATTGACGATGGCTTTTGCTACCCTAAGCATTATGTTCCTGTTGTTACTACGATGAGGGCTGGAAAGTGTCCGCAACAAGCTAAGTCTTGTGCGGCAGCTGTTCCGTACATTATTAAAATGAGGAGCGAAGCTTAACGTCCGGTCCAAGAGCACCCCAAGTATTGTGACCGTCTTCCGGAAAGGTATTGTGGTACCATCACACTCAATGGCTGATTGCTTTTGTAAACAAACACGTCAATCGCCGATTTCTCGCGAATCAAAGTTCTCCGGAATTTCATGTTTGTTTTTGAGTGTTCTGCATAGAATGCTTGGAAGAAATTTTTAAGGGACTTCCAGAGAGAATCTCAAATTTGCTTTAGAACATTTCTGAATAGTCCTCTGTGAAGGAAAATGTTTGAGAATAAGCAAATAAAATGAAGTGTTGAGAGAATTTTCATAGACAAATTTGTCTTAATAATGAGCAATTCAACCTAGTGATATCTTCAGCTCATGCGCATTCGATTTTATGGTTAATTTAACCTTTCCGTGCCTGACTTATAAATTGCCATAGATTTGAAAATTCCATTAGCTCTAATACGGGAAATGTTGGCTTCGGCAATACCTTAACCTATTATCGTCCTTGAGAGCTCAATTCTGACATGTGGATACATTGTGTTTCGGAGCATCTATTGGCCAAACTTGAGTGCTCTAGGGCTTTGTTTACCCCCTGACGATAATAGGTTAAGGTATTGTCGAAGTCAACATTTCCCCTATCATAAACATTTGCGTTTTCTCGGGAATCTATTCAAGATTTTGAGTTCGTAAGGAAATATTTGGATCAATACATGGTTCCGGATTTATTCCGGTTTCCGTTGGGGTCACTCTGGGCTTTACTGTTGTGTAATAACTATACACACGGTGAACATAATATTGTCTCCCTCAATTTATGTAATTGATCCATGTACGACTATACCGATGAACCATGATCACATTGGGCATCCTGGAAAAGTTTCGGTGCCCTCAGGGAAGTGGTCAATTCTCAACAAAATGAACCAAAACCCGACGTGTGACATATCAAACTTCATGATTTTACAAAACTTGGCCGGTAATGGCCTTATTGACAGTCACACGGTCATTCTTTAGACTTGGTCGCTGCCCCAAGGGGGATCGGCGGAGTATGCCCGGAAGGGGCTGTCAATAAGGCCATGACCGCTCGAGTTTTGTAAAATCATGAAGTTTTATACGTAGCACGAGGGGTTTTGGTTCTTGTTGAGAATCGGCCACATCCCCGGAGGGGCACTAGAAGAAGTTCTAGTGTGACCGTGGACTATCAATAAGGTCATTATCGGCCAAGTTTTGTAAAATCA